CCAGAGAGAGACCAGAGAGAGACCAGAGAGAGACCAGAGAGAGACCAGAGAGAGACCAGAGAGAGAGACCAGCGAGAGACCAGAGAGAGACCAGAGAGAGACCAGAGAGAGAGACACCAGAGAGAGACCAGAGAGAGAGACACCAGAGAGAGACCAGAGAGAGAGACACCAGAGAGCGACCAGAGAGAGACCAGAGAGAGACCACAGAGAGAGACCAGAGACAGACCAGAGAGAGACCAGAGAGAGACCACAGAGAGAGACCAGAGAGAGACCAGAGAGAGACCAGAGAGACCAGAGAGAGACCACAGAGAGACCACAGAGAGACCAGAGAGAGACCAGAGAGACACCAGAGAGAGACCAGAGAGAGACCAGAGAGAGACCAGAGAGAGACAAGAGAGAGACCAGGGAGAGACCAAGGAGAGACCAAGGAGAGACCAGAGAGAGACCAGGGAGAGACCAGAGAGACCAGAGAGAGACCACAGAGAGACCACAGAGAGACCAGAGAGAGACCAGAGAGAGACCAGAGAGAGACCAGAGAGAGAGACCGGAGAGAGAGACCAGAGAGACTCTGAGGAGCACAGGGACTGGCCTCCTGCTGGTCCCAGAGTCAGGACTAACTATGGGGAGGCAGCTAAACCCTGGAACAGTGGGGTTTCTCACCCAGTTCTTCAGGGAGGGGCGTGGCCTCAGTCTCAGTGTTGCCGTCACCAGAGAGTACAAACGGATCGGTTTGGCAAACTGTGGAAACAAAAGCAACAAATTAAAATAAACAAATATTTCACATTTCAGAAAACTGAGCTCCAGGCGCTACGGGATGTATACATGAAACTAGAAGCATGGCTAACCACTTTTAATCTGTGTACATGAAACTAGAAGCATGGCTAACCACTTTTAATCTGTATACATGAAACTAGAAGCCAGGCTAACCACTTTTAATCTGTGTACATGAAACTAGAAGCATGGCTAACCACTTTTAATCTGTATACATGAAACTAGAAGCATGGTTAACCACTTTTAATCTGTATACATGAAACTAGAAGCATGGCTAACCACTTTTAATCTGTATACATGAAACTAGAAGCATGGCTAACCACTTTTAATCTGTATACTGTACATGAAACTAAAAAGCATGGCTAACCACTTTTAAACTGTATACATGAAACTAGAAGCAGGGCTAACCACTTTTAATCTGTATACATGAAACTAGAAGCATGGCTAACCACTTTTAATCTTCATACATGAAACTAGAAGCATGGCTAACCACTTTTAATCTGTATACATGAAACTAGAAGCATGGATAACCACTTTTAATCTGTATACATGAAACTAGAAGCATGGCTAACCACTTTAAACATCCGCTATTTACTTATAAGCATGGCTAGCTACTTCAAACCTCTAGCACTGAACTTAGAAGCATGGTTAACCACTTGACCAAAAATATGTTTAATCAAATTTAGAAGCATTGCTAACCACACGTGAAATAACCTACTTTCTCTAAATATTATTGGCGACTGTTGCATTTTTCTTCTTCAGTTATGAGTGAATTTAGAAATATTTGTAAAATAAAGTTAGAATAAATAAGAATAAAGGTGAAAAGGTTACTCACCGACGACCAGAGCGTTACTCAACAAGAGGAGCTGTGGACAGAACCAGCAACGACACCATCAACAACTTGACAATACTATAAATATGACTCTCTTTATATGGATCCAAACATACCCAGAGATTCATGTTCGCTGAGTGTCTGTGACTCTGTAGAGAGACAAGACCATTAGAGCTGAGAGACCAGAGAGAGACCAGAAAGAGACCAGAGAGAGACCAGAGAGAGACCAGAGAGAGACCAGAGCTGAGACCAGAGAGAGACCAGAGAGAGACCAGAGAGAGACCAGAGACCAGAGAGAGACCAGAGACCAGAGAGAGACCAGAGAGAGAGCAGAGAGAGACCAGAGAGAGACCAGAGAGAGAGCAGAGAGAGAGCAGAGAGAGACCAGAGAGAGACCAGAGAGAGACCAGAAAGAGACCAGAGATATACCAGAGAGAGACCAGAGAGAGATTAGAGAGAGACCAGAAAGTGACCAGAGAGACCAGAGAGAGACCAGAGAGAGACTAGAGAGAGACCAGTGAGAGACCAAATGGAAAGACCAGAGAGAGACCAGAGAGTGAGACCAAAGAGACTGGAGTGTCCAGAGAGAGAGCAGAGAGATGCACTCACCAGAAGCTGTCCTGCTCTGTGACACATGGTCCTCTCAGAGTTTAAATAGAGCTGAACAGTTCATATCTGGACCAGTGTAACCTGCAGCGTCTGATTCTAACTATTGTGGACTTATCTTCTTCATATCTGCTCTCGCTAAAGGACACAGCAGCGATACAGAAACTACAGTTATATAACAACACACACTGGTCACCCAAGACCAGGTCACCCAAGACCAGGTCAAGGGACAGATTAGGGAGAAGTCCAAACCAGGATCTAAGACCATGTGTCTCCGATAAATATGTTTTATTTATGTATATTTGTTCATGTCCTCATTTCAGGTTTCACATACATCATATATTGTCTATACATTTGTGAAGCATCTCTCTGGTTTATCTCTGGTCTCTCCCTGGTTTCTCCCTGGTCTCTCTCTTGTTTCTCCCTGGTCTTCCCCTGGTCACTCCCTGGTTTCTCCCTGGTCTCTCCCTGGTCTCTCCCTGGTCTCTCTCTGGTCTCTCCCTGGTCTCTCCCTGGTCTCTCCCTGGTCTCTCTCTGGTCTCTCCCTGGTCTCTCCCTGGTCACTCCCTGGTTTCTCCCTGGTCTCTCCCTGGTGTCTCCCTGGTCTCTCCCTGGTGTCTCCCTGGTCTCTCCCTGGTCTCTCCCTGGTCTCTCCCTGGTCTCTCCCTGGTCTCTCCCTGGTCACTCCCTGGTTTCTCCCTGGTCTCTCCCTGGTCTCTCTCTGGTCTCTCTTAGGTCAATCTTTCATGTATTTTGCTGTTCTCTCTCTGAACTGTGTCTGGTCTCTCTCTTGTCTCTCTCTGGACTCTGTCTGGTCTCTTTTTGGTCTCTCTTAGGTTTCTCTCTGGTCCCCCCCTGGTCTCTCTCTCTGTTATCTCTCTCTGTTATCTCTCTCTGTTATCTCTTTCACAAATCCTTCTGCTATTTTTGATTTTCATTTACAGGTTCTCATGGTTGTCTTAGTTGTTGGGAAAATCCTTGCTGTTAACTCAGACCAGACACTATCTCCATGTCCTGGACTGTTCAGACAGAATGTGCTGAATGTGAGAGAAACCTCCTGAAGTCATGCTCTGGTCTGTGGCCTGATAAACATGATGTCATGATGTCAATGTGGGGAGAAGACTGAAAGTTTGGATCCAGACGGAAAATCATTCTAAAGAATCCCACAGCAGCTCACATCCAGACTTCAACAATCTAGAGAGAGAGAGAGACTGGTCACTGGTCTCTCTGGTCTCTCTCTGGTCTCTCTCTGGTCTCTCTCTCTGGTCTCTCTCTGGTCTCTCTCTGGTCTCTCTCTGGTCTCTCTCCGGCCTCTCTCTGGTCTCTCTCCGGTCTCTCTCCGGTCTCTCTCCGGCCTCTCTCTGGTCTCTCTCCGGCCTCTCTCTGGTCTCTCTCTGGTCTCTGTCGGGTCTCTCTCTGGTCTCTGTCTGGTCTTTTTCCTGTCTCTCTTTCGTCTCCGTCTGATCTCTTTCTGGTCTCTCTCTGGTCTCTCTCTGGTCTCTCTCCGGTCTCTCTCCGGCCTCTCTCTGGTCTCTCTCCGGTCTCTCTCCGGTCTCTCTCCGGCCTCTCTCCGGTCTCTCTCCGGTCTCTGTCTGGTCTGCGTAGGTTTCCTCCGGGTGCTCCGGTTTCCCCTACCACTAAAAATATATACAATAGTTCTGGCATGCGCCTCCTGTTTGGCGACCCTGCTCCCATCTCTGTGTGGAGTGAGAGGGCAAGTGCCCAAAAAATAATAACAATTGTAAACCGCTTTGTGACTCTGGTCTGTGAAAGGCGGTATATAAATAAAGATTACTTACTTACTTACTTACAGACACACGCACACACACACACACACACACACACACACAGACAGGTTAAACAGGTGTGGTGGGTCCGTGGCTCAGATAGAAGTGAAAGTTTAGTAATGTTTCGATTTAAGTGAAGTAGTTTATTCAGGTCTGCACAAACAGTTGAAAAGGATTCTGTCAAACCTCTGAAGCTAAGCAGGGCAGGGCCAGTTTAGTGCTGTGATGGGAGACCTCTGAGAACATTAGGTGCCACAATGGGGCGGCTGCAGCTGTAAAGTGCCAAACTGTGGTTGTGTCCTTAGGCAAGACACTTCCCCCACATTAGAATGAGTCTGGTGTGTGTGTGAATGGTTTGTGGTGGTGGGAGGGGCCGATGGCACAGACTGGTTGCCTCGCTTCTGTCAGTGTGCCCCAGGGCAGCTGTGGCTACTGTCGTATTTTATCACCAGTGTATGGAGTGAAAGAATAATGATGTGAAGCGTCTATGAGAGTCTTAAAAACACTATTCAAAAGCTCTGCATTATTATAATATTTCTGTTATTTCTGTCTGTAAAATTTAAATGACTGTGGCTAAAGTACATTTTCAAAATATCTAATAATCTCCTGATGTTTTATTTTATTGGGACCCAATTATCAACACTATTACTAACCAAGGCTTTTGTGTATCACACACTCCTGCTATGACTCTGAGGAGCACAGGGACTGGCCTCCTGCTGGGACTCTGAGGAGCACAGGGACTGGCCTCCTGCTGGGACTCTGAGGAGCACAGGGACTGGCCTCTTGCTGGGACTCTGAGGAGCACAGGGACTGGCCTCTTGCTGGGACTCTGAGGAGCACAGGGACTGGCCTCCTGCTGGGACTCTGAGGAGCACAGGGACTGGCCTCCTGCTGGGACTCTGAGGAGCACAGGGACTGGCCTCCTGCTGGGACTCTGAGGAGCACAGGGACTGGCCTTACGTTCGTCCTTCACAGATAAGACTCTGAGTTATCGCTCTTTGACACTTTCTGTTGATTCTGCCTCAGACTTTCTTATCAGTCTGCGGCAACGAGGACAGACTCTCGGACCACGTCACTGTGTCTTTAATTCTACATAAAGTTAATGCAATTATTCTTATAGTTTAGTTTATTCTTTGGTCGAGGTGTTTTTCATGTGTCATTTACAGGAAGATAAAAACACATTTTCAATCAATCGGTCAAATGTTATTTGTCTAGAAAAAAGGGAACTCAAAGTTCTTTGGGTTTCCTTTGTAGTAGAGTAGAGTCGAGTCGAGGCGAGTCGGTGTCAAGTCAGTGGCCTGTACTGTCCTGTCTGATCTGTCGTTATTTGCTGACAGTAAAGAAAATGATGTGTGTGACCTGTTAGAGCTGCTCTGTGTCCAAAGACTCCAGTTTCAGAAATAACAGGGCGGTTTCACTGAGTTTGGAGACAAGCCAATCAGAACACTCGCTGGAACAAAGACTCCTCTGTCTGACGGATGTTGGCAACGAGCTGTACATGTGATTCACCTGTAAAGAGCCAAGTTTATTTATATAGCACAGTTGATACACAAGCCAACTCAAAGTGCTGAACAAAACCAGAGAGAAACAGTCACACAAGGTATTCAAATTAAAGAGAGAGAACCTCACATCTTCAGAAAGACTTCCATATTTTAGCATCTGACTCTGGCACCAGCAGGAGGACAGTCCTTGTGCTCCTCAGAGTCCCAGCAGGAGACCAGTCCCTGTGCTCCTCAGAGTCCCAGCAGGAGCCCAATCCCTTATTTCGGGTTTGTCCGTGTTTAACTGAGGGAAGTTGTTTTAAGCCATGTCATGTCTCATCACCAAACAATTATGCCTAAGTGCAACAGAATGTCTAGTTTGCCACCTGTGCTTTCCCATCCTTTGTCTGCTCTGTCTTTATCGGCTGACAGTATAAACAAACATGTGTTTGACATTTAGAACTGGTCTGACCACATGTCTGATGTGGAGCATTTAGACCAATAACAGAGAAAGTACAGGGACGTTTCACTGATGAGAGTCGGCCCGTTTCCACCAGCCCTACTCGGCTCTACTCTACCTGGTTGTGTTTCTATTAAGCTCTAGTATCTGGTACCGTATCTTAGCAACTTACTCACAACAAACCAGTGTCCATGGAAATTTCTTGGTAACCATGGCTTCCAGCGGCACTTTAAAACTTTAGTAACAGCTCGGTCTGGACAGAACCAGGACCAAGAGGCACAAAAGAAGAACCTGGTACTGGTTAAACAGGACCAGTGGAAACTCTCCCAACTGGGGGTGGGTTAGGAGTAGGGTAGAATGGAGTAGAGTCGAGTAGAGTAGAGTAGAGTAGAGTAGGGTAGGGTAGGGTAGAGTAGAGTAGAGTAGAGTGGGGTACAGTAGGTCCCATTTCGTTTTGTCGTCTTCATTCACGCTTTTCATGAATCACGCAGCTGCGTGAAACATATTACATCCTATCGCCACTAGGTGGCAGGTTAAGTCCGCTTTAACTCTGCCAGCGACTTAAAAGCTCAGGTATAAGACTGCGTGCAAACCTGTTTTGCCTAGTGATACTATATGTTGGCCGAATGGTTAGCCTTGCAGTTTAGGACCTGATGGATCCGGGTTCGATTCTTGTCTGAGAAGTTTAGATTGCACACCTTTTGGTTGCTTGTGAGCAATTACGTAACGTTATCAGCTTGTTATTTTCTTTCCTTGTCAAAAGGAAATGTCATGTTGTAAAATTGGCATTTTTA